TCCAGGTGTGGGGGGAGGGTGGACAGAAAATGTGCTCCGAGGAGTGTTGTTTTTTTGTTTGTTTTTTGGGTAGAACTGTGCTTGACATTCAATATCCTGGTAGTTTCAGGTGTACATCATAGTGATTCAACATTTACACATTAAGAAGTGATCCCCACGATAAGTCTAGTTGCTGTGGTCACCATACAGTTACTACGATATTATTGTAACTACAAAGTTACTACAGTGTGATTGACTATAGTCCCTTCGCTGTACTTGACCTCCCATGACTTATTTTGTAATCGGAAGTTTGTGACTTAATCCTCTTCACCTGTTTCAATCCCCTTCACCTGTTTCGCCGGCTCCCGGCGCCTCCCCCTTCTGGTAACGAACAGTTTCTTATACCTGTGTATCTGTTTCGGTTTTGTTTGTTCTTTTGTTATTTAGATTCCACATATGAGTGGAGTCAGACCTATTTGTCTTTTTCTGTCTAGCTTATTTCACTTAGTGTAATACCCTTTAGGTCCATCCATGCTGTATGTCAGGATTTCATTTTTTTTTCTTTTTTTAAAAGATTTATTTATTTTGAGAGAGCGCCCGCAAACGGGGGAGGGGCCAACGAAGAGGGTAGAGAATCCCAAGCAGGCTCTGTGCTGTCAGCGCAGAGCCAGATGTGGGGCTCAAGGTCACAAACCCAAGTCAGGACTGTGAGATCATGACCTAAGCCGAAATCAAGAGTCATATGCTCAGCTGACTGAGCCACCCAGGCGCCCCAGGGTTTCATTCTTGATGGCTGAGTAATATTTCGTTGTAGGTATTATCACATCTTCTTTATGTTTGTTTATCGATGGATACTTGGGTTGCGTCCATATCTTGGCTGTTGTAAATAATACTGCAATGAATATAGGGGTGCATGTATCTCTTCCAACTGGTGTTTTCATTTTCTTCAGGTAAATACCCAGAAGTGGAATTATTGGAGCATATGGTAATTCTAGTTTCAAATTTTTTTTTTTGCTTTTTTTTTTTTTAATGTTTATTTTTAA